TATGTCCCATCCATATTTTCTTTTCACACATCCTGCTTCAAACTCCCTGTTTGTGGAAGCTGCTCATCAAATGAGCAAGCAGCAATGTTACTAGTCTACTCTTTCAGACCATGGCAGTAAGAGAGTAGACCTCTTTGGCTGAAAAGTTTGTTTCTTCCACCCTGCAATTTAGAATGGTTAATTATGCAGCCCTCCTTAGTAAATACAATCACGAAAAATTACTCCAAATTCGGCGACAAACACCAACACCTAAATGCAGACAGTACAGATATCAGCCATATCCCAGACCACAGTATCCCACATTACTCACTCTCTCCACCTCAATCACTTTAAACTATTCAGTCACCAACTATTCAATCGCCATCTCTTCACATTACATGACAATTGGCATGCAATCATCTAAGATAAATGGATGTAGCAAACAATATGATTTGGTTGCATCATCCCCTTCATAGCAATATTCCTAACCACCCAACCCATCCTTCTTTAGGGGCCTATTACTCTCATGACCTATTACTCCACTAAGAAGTCTAACATCTTCTCCAACTGGGGGCCATTGAACCCATTCCAACCGAATACAAAGGGAAAAGGTTCTGTTCTCATTATTTTCTCACAGAAAAGAAAAACAGGGGATGGTGCCTAATTCTTGATCTCAGAGCTCTCGACAAATATGTAAAAAAGCAGAAATTCAAAATAGTGACCCTCACAACCATTATCACAGCACAGGAGCAGTGAGATTGGTTTCCTTCCCTCAAGACACATTTCCATGTTTCCATACACCCAGCTCATAGATGTTTTCTCTGGTTTGTCCTAGGTCACAATCACTACCAGTACAAAATCTTACCTTTTGGTCTCTCTGTGGCACCAAGAGTCTTTTCCGAAATCCTGGCGGTAGTGACTACACACTTCAGAAAGAAGAGCATCATTATTTTTCCCTTACATGGACAACTACCCTCTGAAAGCACATTGCATGCAGGACTTGCAACAAAGCACCCTTATCACCCTGATATATCTTCTTCCTTGGCCTACAAATAAACAAAATCAGCACTCATTGCCACACAACAGATACAATTCATAGGAGCTCACCACATTGCAATAACCATAACCGCGTCTCTCCCACTCAGATTCGGCAACATCGAAGCACTGGTAAACAAGCTGCAGGTCATACCACAGGTGACTGCCCACAACTGTCTCCAACTACTCGGACACATGGCCACCTGCAAAGTGGTTGTCCCCATTGAATTTTCCCAAATGCATCCCTCTTTATGTAATACTTCCAGGGATGGCTGAATACAGTTTACAGGTTGAACATACACTCTCTCACCAAACTCCTTTCTTTCCCTCCTCTGGTCAAACACTCCCTCACATGGTGGACACTCGCTTGCAGCCTTTGCTTAACAATCCCATTCACATGACAAGATGCCTCCGTGATTACCACCACAGACACCTCCCTTACTGGATGGGGAGCACACCTTGGGGACCATACTGCTCAAGATCTGTGGTACACCACCAATAGATTACTATGCATAAATGTACTTGAGTTCTGGACAATTATATACGCCTGCAGCCAGTTTCTTCCTCTCATGAACAACAAGCATGTCAGAGTCTACACCGATAATGTAGCCTCCATGTTCTATATCCGGGTTGGGGAACCTTTTTTGGGTCAGGAGCCATATCCCAAACCACAGTATCCCACATTACTCACTCTCTCTTCAGTGGAGCTAGGTAGAGCTAAGTGGAGCCCTGAATCTCAGGGACCGGATCCAGACAAGCCCGGAGCCACATCTGGGCCTTAGGTTCCCCACCTGTGCTCTATATGAACAGGCAAAGGGAGCTCAATCCCACACCCTCTGCACAGAATCCATGAGACTCCAGAATTGGTGTCTCCAGCACAAAATAACAATATCTGCCTTTCACTTTCTAGGGGTCCTCAATGCTACTGCAGATGCACGCTGCAGATCTCTTCCTCAGGAGCATGAATGGGAGATAAATGACAATGTTATCAACCCAATATTTGATTTGTGATGTTACCCCAAGATCGATCTTTTCGCCACTTAAAACAACAAGAAGTGCCCAGATTTCCGCTCCAGAGCCAGATAGGCAAACACTGTCTGGGGAATGCACTACTAATTAAATGGGATCATAGTCTCCTATACGCTTTCCCATCAATACCACTCGCCAGCAGAGTCTTGCAAAAAATACAAAAGCACAGACCTACAGTCACATTCATTGCCCCTTCATGGCCCTGGCAACCATGGTACCCCTTCCTCACCATGATGTTTAACTTTCCAGCACTCACTTTTCCATCTAACCACAATCTCCTGTCACAACTCAGAACATAAGCACAGCACTCCAGCCTTCACATGCTACTTCTCAAAGCTTGGTACCTCAGTGGTTCTCTGCTCAGGAACTAGATTGTTCACAAATTGTTCAAGCATTGTTACTCCATAACAGAGTTCAGACCACTTGCAAAACCTGCATGCAGAAATGGAAAAGATTCTCCCATTGGTGCTCTGACAGCTTCTGCATCCCTCCCAAGAGTCTTTGATTACCTTTTATATCTTAAAAAACAATGAATGGTGCTGCAACAACTTAGAGACTAACAAAAGTTGTAGATGGTATCATGATTTTTTTGTGAGCACAACCCACTTTTTCAGATGAATGGAGCTAAGAGGTCCAGGGTGCAAATAAATAGCAGAGAAAGAGAGGGAATTAGGGAGGAAAGTGAAGGAAAAAAATAGGGACAAAATTGTCAATTAGAGTGCCCATGCTAAATAAGGCTAATAGTGTGGGCTGTAAATACCCAGTACTTGGCTTTTTATGTCACTAGGGTGTGGAATGGCCCATCCAGGCCAGGTCTTTGTTCAAGGCTTGATTACAGGTGTCACATTTGTAAATGAAACCAAGTTCTGCAGCTTCTCGACAAAGGGGTGCAGACTGACAGAGGGTGCTATAGCTATCATGAACTGAACAGAAGTATGCCAGACAACTCTCCAACACCAGACTCTACAAGCTTCTCTCCTCTGATCCCACTAGATAAAAATAGATGATACTTCTATATTTGCACATTCAGTAACAAAGGGTATGTCTACACTACCACCCTAGTTCGAACTAGGGTGGTTAATGTAGGCATCCGAAGTTGCAAATGAAGCCCGGGATTTGAATTTCCCGGGCTTCATTTGCATCTTGCCAGGCGCCGCCATTTTTAAATCCCCGCTAGTTCAGACTCCGTGCCCGCGGCTACACGCGGCACTGATTAGGTAGATCGGATTAGGTTTCCTATTCCGAACTGCCGGTACACCTCGTTTCACTAGGAAGCCTAGTCCGAACTACCTAGTCCGTGCTGCATGTAGCCGTGCGGCACGGGGTCCGAACTAGCCGGCATTTAAAAATGGCGCCAGCCGGCTTCATGCAAATGAAGCCCGGGAAATTCAAATCCCGGGCTTCATTTGCAACTTCGGATGCCTACATTAACCACCCTAGTTCGAACTAGGGTGGTAGTGTAGACATACCCAAAGAAAATCCTCTATCCTGAGATTAAACAACCGGCTGAACCTTCCCCTCATTCTCAATTCTCTAACTTACCAATCTTTCAAACCAGTGGCAATCACCAGTTCCCCCTTGCATCTGTCAATGAAAACAATATCTCTAAGTAGCTATTCCATCCACCAGACGAGTGGGGGAAATAGCAGCATTCATGCCAGGACTATCATACACAACATTATTTAAGGACAAAGCTTCCTTCCACACACATCCCAAATTCCTACCAAAAATGTATTCATCCTATCATAATAACCAAACCATCCACCTTCGGACTTTCTTTCCAGGACCACATACCAATGCATTTGAATCCACACTGTACATGCTTGACGTGTGCTGAACACTACGGTTCTCCACAGGACAAAGCCCTTTAGATTCTTTCCTAAATTATTCAGATCAGTAGCAGACCATAATAAATGCAAAACCATCTCTGTGCAGAGGCTTTCACACTGGATATTGGATGGCATCCGATTATGCTATTAGCACAACAAAGTCAACGCTCCTACCTCTGTTCAAGCATGCTCCATGAGAGCATTATCCACATCCATAGTGTTTCTATGTAAGGTTCAGATTACGGACATCTGCAGAACTGCCACATGGGGCTCTGAGCATACTTTTATAAAACACTATACGCTCACTCAAGGTCCGCTCTTGTACATCAGCATAGATAAAGCTGATTTATCCACATTTTTTACTGGATTGGAAGTCCCTATCTCTTTAATACATACCGTTTTACAGTCACCGACAGTGGAACACCCACAGGGACATCTCTCACAGAAGAACATTTGAGAAGATTACTCACTTGTGCAGTAACATGTTCTTTGAGATGAGTGTCCCTGTGGTAGCTCTACTACCAACTCTTTTCACCTCTACATTAGTATTTTGGTGTGGTCTCTGTTATAGAGAAGGAACTGAGAAGGAATGTAATGTCAGGGCGCTAAAGTCTCATGAGCCAGGTACCGTGCCTGCACGGCTCATGATGACACTGTTCTAAAAGCCTCCAATTGATGGTGCACCAACATCTACATTGGAGGTGCACCAACATCTACATTGGAGCATCCACAGGGACACTCATCTCGAAGAACATCAGTTACTGCACCAGTGAGTAACCTCATACATATACTTCTAAACTTTTAGGCTGGGATTTTCAAAGCCTAAGGGAGTTTGACACTCAGTGGGTGTTGGGTGTCAAACTAGCTTCAAGTAGTGAGATGTTGTAGAAGATTAACTGACAGAAATAACTTCTAGCTTCTCAGGCAGAGATTGGTATAAATGTGATTTGAAATGTTTGTGTCAAACATTAATGGTATGCAGTCTTTTTAATTACTAATAAACTTTGTCTTCTAAGTCATAGAAGACATCATCACATAAATATATCTTAAAGGAAGTCCATGAAAAAGCATTAGGGTACTAAAGTTAAACTTCTGAGAGAGATATTAATAGTCTATTTATTTCTGCAGAAGAAACCAGTGAAGTTATTCAAAATGAAGAAATTGGTCACAAAGAAGAGGACCAAAATACATTATCTGCAGATAATGTGGTATGTACTTTTTCCATATCCTACCCATTTCACCTTCTTACTATACACACTGGCTGTGTCTAGACTGCATCCCTTTTCCGTAAAAGGGATGCAAATTAGACACATCGCAATTGCAAATGAAGCAGGGATTTAAATCCCCCCTGCTTCATTTGCATAAACATGGCTGCTGCTTTTTTCTGGCTCGGAGCTTTGCCGGAAAAAAGCGCCAGTTTAGACGCGGATCTTTCGGAAAATAAAGCCTTTTCCGAAAGATCCTTCAGTTCCTTATTTTAAGAGGAATAAGGGATCTTTTGGAAAAGGCTTTATTTTCCGAAAGATCCGCGTCTAAACTGGCGCTTTTTTCCGGCAAAGCTCCGAGCCAGAAAAATAAATTTAAATCCCCACTTCATTTGCAACTCCATGTGTCTAATTTACATCCCTTTTACGGAAAAGGGATGCAGTCTAGACACAGCCACTGTCTTCCAAAGACAGTGCTTCTAAGCTAGTGAAGAGTTCAGTTTCATGTTCTGTTAAAAAGAACCCCTTTTTATAACTTGAACACTAAAAAAAAGTAGTTATTGATAGAATTGTGCATATTCAGGTGAAAAATTTAAAAATATTTCCATATAATTTAATGAGTAGAAATCTTGTGTTTTAGGAGGCTACTTAGCGAAAATGCATTACTATAATCTAGTCTCTCCTCTCCAAAGTCCTGAGTAAATCTTCCATTCTACTCTGCTCGGGAACATTATCACATATGGAAATGCTGAAAGAAAGTTTTGCTTCACTTAGTTTTGTTGTAATAGCAAGGCCTGAAACAAACTCAGGCTGGAATGGTTAGGCTCTGATTCTGCAAAGAACTTCTGAGTGGTTACAGAACTCATCCTAGTATTTGGTAGCAGCTAGCCTGAGATGTTTTGTGAACCTTAGAGGCTAGATACTTCAGATACCATGGTATATGTGTAATGCATGACAGTATGAAGGTAAATTCCCCATTGAATAATTAAGTACAACTTTTCATTGACTACAGGTTGGACTTCCTTAGTCCAGCACCCTTGGGACCTAACCAGTTCCGAATGAGATCAGGGAAGATCAGTTCCAGCCCCTCTGCTGATGGACTCCAGGCTCTCCCAGGGTCCATCAGCAGACCCGGCTGGCTCTCTTCCAGGTTTCACATCCCCACCTGGCTCCACTACCAGCTCGGCCACTGGTCCATCTCCTCTCCTGGCCACTGGCTAGGGTTTACTGCTGGTTTGGCACCAGGCGGGGACCACTGCTGCTCCAACCCCCCACCTCAGGGCTCCTCACTCCCAGCCAGGTATCACTGCCAGTCCAGCCCCAGCTGCCAGGCTCTGTGTCCTGTCTGTGCTTCACTTCTGGTCTGGCCCCACTGCTGGGTTCCATGCTTCTGTTGCTGGCTCTGGCTCTGGCCACTAGACTCCATGACCCAGTGCCAGACTCCCGGCTCTTTTCCAGCTATCTGCCCCTGATTCCACTTGCAGACACTGGATTCCTAGCCACTGGCAGTCTCTAGTCCAGAGTTCTCTGGTCTGGCAACATTTGTGGTCCTGCTGGATCATGGATATTACCAGACCAGAGAGTCAGACCAGAAAGGTTCAACCTATACTAGGATAGCATTATTTTTGCCATTGAAGTGCCAGTGCTGATGCCACTATTTTGGTCCATATGCTTTTTCTATTTTTTTATTTTTAATTCTGTCAAGTAGTAAGATGTTTATCTGGTTGTTTTTACCCAATACTGTGAAAAAATAGGGTTTTCAAACAATCTAATTAAGAATGTAAAAGCCTGTGTAAATCCTGTGTTTAAACATACATTCTTAGAATCACAATACAAAATTATCACTGCATTTCATGTTGAAAAATATTTATTTTGACAGTATATAGCACTTATGTGGCACTTTCCCATGTGTTACATTTTTGAGAAAAAACTCAGGGAGGTGAGTTGATACTGAAAGCGTGTTATGACAGAACAAAGTGTGCCATTTTTATAGTGCCCATGAAGTAGTTTTAATTTTATTCATATTTAAATTAGATTTCCAACAGATGGAATTAATATAAATCTGTTTATGATGGGAGCCTGGCTTTCTTTCCAATACATCAGAGAGAGAAACTGCAAACAGCTTCCTGAATCTATATATTTCTACTCTTTTTGGGAGGGTGAAGTATGTGAAGAAAGTAATGGTGTTAGTGCCAATTTTGTTCTGTTATCTTAATCAGTATTTAATCTTGTGAAAAAGCAAAAAGTCACGTGACACCTTAAAGACTAGCAGATTTATTTGGGCACAACATTTCATGGGTTAAAAATCACTTTGTCAGATAAGCTTATACCCAGATAAATTTACTAGTCTTTAAGGTGCTGCAGGATTCCTCATTGTTTTTGCAGATCCAGACTAACAGAGCTACTCCCTCTGAGATTTAATCTGTGAGATAAGGTATAAACTTAAGCAATTGTATTGCTGTTTAATAAAAATGGAGTGTTTAAATTGTTTTCAAGGCTATAAAATTAACAATCAGATTAAAAGGGAGTAGTTTACAGAATTTAGGGAGAATTTTTTAATTTTTATGGTTAAACGTAAATATCTTAGAATGTGTGAGATCTCCATAGTTGTCATGATTGAGTTTCTATTAGAAACCCTGCTTCTTCCCCAGTCTGAATTTCATAAACAAAGGAATGTTGGCTTCAGGATTGATAGCTTAGAGTGCAAAGTTATTAAGATCAGTTTTGGGGGAAAAAGTTAAGTTCTTCGAGAGGTCCCTGTGGATGCTCCACACTGGGTCTTGTACCGTCCCAGCACCTGGATAGGAGATTTTGAAATAGTCTCTGTGGGGGCCACACATGCGCAGCACCAAGCGGTGCATGCTTTCCAGTAGGCACTGCGCATGCACGGCCTACACCTTCCAGTTGCTTCTCAACCACCCTTGGCCTTAGACAGAGCTTCCCAGTTCCCTGTTTTTTCAACGATTCTACAATAGTTTAGATAGTTTATAGTTAGTTTCTTGTTATTCTAAACTGTTGGACTTTGCGGACGACATCCCTGAGGCAAAGAGACCCCAATTTATGTCCATTGTGGCTGAGGGACACATTATTTTTCGGGCAGCCCTCCATGCTGTGCTCGGTGCTGCAGACACAGTGGCTAGAACTACTGCCACTGCGGTTATGAACCAGGTCATCCTGGTTCTCCCCTGCTACATTTCCACGAAATACAAGCCATCATTGAAGATTTGCCCTTTGACGGGCAAAAACTCTTTGCCAGCAAAATCAGTGGTGTCCTTAATACAATGTATGGATGCCCTATGCACCCAGGCTAACAGACATAGACAGTACCATTACCAATCTTATCAACAACCTCAGTACCCTTCTTACTTCAATCAATGCTCAGACTCCAATCCGAATAGGAACTGTCTTCAGCCCCAGAGACACCAAAAGTCATCAGGTTTGGCCCCTCAACTGCCATTGGCCAACAAGCAAATTTGAGGCTTTTGTCAAGGGCCTTAAAGACCTCCCAGAAGTTTCAATACTGCCAGTGACCACACACATGTTCCAAAACCCTCTCCACCAATTCTATCACCAGTGGGCCACTATCACCACAGACAGATGGGTGCTCAACATCATCCTATCGGGATACACCATTCCCTTCCTCTCCAAGCCTCCTACCCTCCCTCCCATCCTGTCCTTCTTCAGGGACCCTTGTCACAAGACTTTGTTATGTCAAGAGCTGATACATTTTCTAGATCTCTGAAAAACGTCCCAGAAAAATACAGGGGATCAGGTTTCTATTCCCGTTACTTCCTAACTCTAAAGTAGTCAGGGATATAGTGACCAACTGAGGTCTCCGCAGCCTCAACAGATTTGTCAAGACACAACACTTTCGCGTGGTCACTTATCCTGGTGTTGCAACAAAAGGGCTGGTATTCAGCCCTCGACCTGCAGGACGAATATTTCTATATTCTCATACACCCGGCTCACAGAAGGTTCTTAAGTCTCACGGTAGGCCCACATCACTACCAATATCGGGTCCTTCTGTTTGGCCCATCTACATCCCCTTGAGTCATCTCCAAGGTGCTGCTGTGGCCATGGCACACCTTCACTCATTGGGAGTAATCATATTTCCTTTCCTCGGCAACTGCCTCCTCAAAGCCACATCACACTCCAAGGCAGTCCGTGTTATGGCAGCAACTATCCATTGTTTTCAAAAGCTGGGCCTTTGCATAAACTGGGAAAAGTCATCTATCCACCTTTCCCAGACCATTCAATTAACTAGAGACTGTCTAAATTCCATAGTGGCAAGATCCTACCTGCCCCACAGATTCCTCGTCATCCAATCTCTAGCCACAACCCAGTACCTTTCTCCAAACACTACAGCCAAAGATTGCCTACAACTTCTAGGGCAGATGGCAGCTAAAACTTTTGTGGTATCGCATGCCCGATTGCACATGTGCTGCCTACGGATTTGATTTTCTGCTGTATACAAACCTCTAAAGCATTCCACGTCACTCCGGCTTACCATACCACATGAGGTAAAGACAAAGACGCCCTCCTATGTTGGACCAAGCCACCAATCTTTGCATGGGAGTCACATTCCTTCGATTGCCCTCTTCCCCCCTTCCCCCCACCCCACTGCATGATTACTACAGATGCTTCCCACTCTGGCTGGGGGGCCCTCTTTGAGACCAGACCACTCAAGGACTTTGGTCAACCCAGGAGATGAACTTCTCACATAAACCTGCTGGAACTACGTGCGGTACACAGTGCCTGCAGACATTTCCAGATCTCCATCACTGCCAAACCCATACATGTCCTTACAAACAACATTGCCTGTCTTTTCTGCATCAACAGTCAAGGGAGTCCCTACTCCCAGTGCCTAGGCACCGAGGCCATAAAGTTGTGGAATTTTTTTGCATCAACCACAACATCCACCTTTCTGCAGTTCACATAGCAGGGTTCACCAATGTAATCATGGACACTCTCAGCAGACATTTTCCTCAGCATCACGAATGGGGGTTCTCAATTCCTTTGTACCTTCTGTTCTCCAGATGGGGTCACCTGTCGGCAGACTTGTTTACTACACCTCACAACACCAAACGCATACAGTTTTGCTTCAGAGCAGGCATCAGAAAGGGATCCATAGGAAATACAATCTCTATTACGCTTTTCCCCCAATACCTCTCCTTGGCAAAGTAGTCCACAAGATCAGGATAGATGGGGCCATAGTCATACTATTAGTATGGCCTCCTCATGGCCAAGACAACCTTGGTATCCCTTCCTGCTCAGGATATTAGTTCACTGGCCCATCATTCTTCTACTCCAGTGCAATCTCATTATGCTGGGCCAGACTACACAAACCAATCTGGACCTATGCAAACGACATCTAACAGCATGGCTCCTCCGTGGTTCTTCCAATCCGAACAAGGGCTTCCTGAGCAGATACACACAATCCTTATTCACAGTCGTAAGGACTCCAAATGCTCCTACACATATAAATGGAAATGCTTTTCAGCATGGTGCACTTCCAAAGGACACAATCCCATATCAGTGCCCCTGTTGCTCATCTTGGACTGCCTCCTCATTCTGAAACAGTCATCGCTATTCTTCAGTTCCATTAAAGTACACCTAGCAGCCATTACGGCTTTCATCAAAAAATTGAGGGTTGGCCCATCCTTACTTACCCCACAATCAAGAGATTCCTTAAAGGGCTGCATCTCCTACATCCTGACGTCACACATATGATACCGTCCTGGGACCTGGGTCTGGTACTATGAGCTTTCACCAGGCCACCCTGTGAGCCTCTCGCATCTTGCTCTTCGGAATAGTTGTCCATGTTGATTGCTGGTTGCCCTAATATTGGCCTGCTGCATCAGAGATATGGCGGCACTCATGGCCGACTCACCTTTCACGATACTCCACTCTGATAAGGTCACTCTCTGTACGCACCTCAAATACTTGCCTAAGGTGGCCTCATTTCATATAAATGAACCACTGAACTTTCCTGTATTCTTTCTGTAACTACATGCCAATGCATCTGAGGTTTCCATGCACACTCTCAATGTCAAGTATGCACTAGCTTTCTACTTGCAGAGAACTAAAGTTGTTAGGCAATCCCCTTGGCTCTTCTTAGCATTTAATGAATGGGTTAATGGGCAATCCATATCAAAACAGAGGTTGTCCAAATGGATCACTGACTACATAAAGCTTTGCTATACCCTTAAGGGCCTACAACCACCTTTAATTTTGATGGCTCATTCCACTCATTCCATCATTCTTCTACCACTGTATACCAGTAGGGCCATATCCTCTACCTATGCAACGTCTCGCTTTCAGACATTTGCAAGGCAGCCACCCAGACGTCTCAACTACCTTTGCTAAGCATTACACACTCTCCTATGGGCATGATACCTCTGTGCGCTATGTGGTTCTATCATCGGCCTTCCTCAATACTCCAAAACCCTCACCTCCACATGCTTGCTAATCACCCAGCGTGGAGCATCCACAGAGACCTCTCGAAGAAATAGTGGAGGTTACTCATCTTGTGCAGTAACTGAAAGAAATAGTGGCGGTTACTCACCTTGTGCAGTAACTGGAGTTCTTTGAGATGGTTCCCCATGGATGCGCCATAACCGCCCTCTTCCCCTCTGTTTTGGACCTATAAGGCCTCTGGGGAAGAGAAGGAACTGGAGGGCATGGGCCGTGTATGCATGTGCCTACCGGAAAGCACGTGCCAGTTGGCGCTGTGCATGTGTGGCCCCTGGAGGGACTGCTTCAAAATCTCTGATTGAGGCACTGGAATGGCACCAAGACCCAGTGTTGTGTATCCATGGGGGCACCATCTCAAGGAACTCCAGTTACTGCACAAGGTGAGTAACCTCCGCTTACTAGCCTCCTGATGAACCAATAGAGGCTCCTCGGAAGGCTGAAAATCCTATATAGGCTCTCAGCTGGCAGGCAATACAAGTTTAGCTTGTTGAAACTGATCCTGTTTCCTAAGATTTATTGTGGGAGGAGATGTTTGTCCACAAAGAATATACCAATACCAGCAGTAAATGTTAGAAGGCCCACAAAACCTACAAATGCTTATGAGAGATGGAGCACTGGAAGGGGCTACTATGATCAGAACTAGAATTTTCCTAATGCAGGTTTTTGCATGAAGGTAAGAGGAATACCTGTGTTTTTGTCTTAGAATATTTACAGAAAGGAGGATGTTCTTCCTCTTGGATGATGACCCTTCTCTTTGTGTCCATGTGTCTAGACTGTGAGTCTACATCTAGTCTGCAGGCTTCTTTCAGAAGAAGCTATGCTGGAAAAGATCTTCTGAAAAAACTTCTTCCAAAAGAGCACGTCCACACTGCCAAAGTGCATCAAAAAAGCTGTCTGCTTTTTCAAAAGACAGCATCCAGACTGAATGGGCACTATCTCGCATGTAAGCTGTGATTAATATGGGCGGAATGGCCACCAGGGCACCTGTGCTTTTCTTTCAATTTCTTTTGAAAGAACTTCCTATTCCCCGTCCCCACATTTCAATTTCTTTCGAAAGAACTTCCTATTCCCCGTCCCCACACACCGTTTTCCAAAAGAGCTCTTTCGAAAAAAGGCTTCTTCCTCATAGAATGAGGACTACCAATATCAGAAAAAACCCTCTGTTCTTTCAAATTTGGGGGGGGAGGGGAAGAATACGATTGCAGTGTGGACGTAAGTGAAGTTTTTCAGAAAAAGGACCATTTTTCTGAAAAAACTCTGCAGTGTAGACATACCCTGAGTTTTACAGGTGGAGACAAATGTATTTTTCTTTTACAGTATATAGCTGAATTCTCTAATTTCCTACCACTAATTTCTCTGTTTCCACTGGTTCTGGAAGAAGAATTGAGTCCTGTCCCTGTCAAAGCATTATATTCAAAGAAGACAGAGTCAGTTTCTGGAGTTATCATATTATTGTCAAGGTCCTAAAACAGACTAGATGAGGAACTATTTTTAAAAAGAGAGAGATTTTAGTACAAAAGGGCAAGAATTAAATGAGTAAAGACTTGCCAGTAGGACGGGGGGGGGGGCCCACTTCACATTGCCCCGGAGGGGGTGGAGCCTCAGGCAGAAGAAGCAGGGCCAGGACATTTCTTTGCTTCCCTGTCCCCAGGCCATGATTGGCCTGGGGGCGGAGAGAGCACATGAAGTCTCCTACCACCCTACAAGGAGCACACAGTGCTTAGAGTGAGTCGACAGCTGGTGGTTCACTCTAAGCACCGCACACCCCTTACAGGGCAGGGGAAGATACTTTGGGTATGTCTAGACTTCATGGCTCTGTCGCCAGAGCCATGTAGATTAGTTTACTAGACATACCCAAATGAAGCGGCGATTTAAATAATCGCCACTTCATTTAAATTAAAATGGCTGCCGCGCTGAGCCGATCAGCTGTTTGTCAGCTCAGCACCCTAGTCTGGACGCTCCACGGTCGACATCAAAGGCATTTGTGGACCGCCCCGGTAAACCTCATCCCACGAGGCATAACAGGACGGTCGACAAATGCCTTTGATATCGACCGCGGAGCATCCAGACTAGCGCGCTGAGCTGACAAACAGCTGATCGGCTCAGCGCGGCAGCCATTTTAATTTAAATGAAGCAGCAATTATTTAAATCGCCGCTTCATTTGGGTATGTCTAGTAAACTAATCTACATGGCTCTGGCAACAGAGCCATGTAGCCTAGACATACCCTTTGTGTGCTCCGCAATCCCCAGGCCCTAATTAGCCTAGAGGCAGGGGAGCAGCAGGGTGCCCACAGGTTGGATCAACCTGCTGGAGGGCTCAATCCAGCCCACGGAGGCTCTCTTGCCCATCCTGTAGTAGGAAATTTCCCAGGTGGCAGTCGTTCATCATGTCTGTCTTGCTTGGATGACATAACATCTCTCACAAAGAGTCTGTAGAAAACACACATTTTCCCTGTAAGGCCAGCTGTGCAGTCTAAAAGGAGATTCAGTATGCAATTTAATCAACAACAAAAAAAGGCAGCAGCTAGCTCCTCTACAGTATGTACAGTGAATCACCACAACAACAGTGTCCTAACTTTGTGTACGCTCCCTCAGGTAGTTTCCTCCCTGGAGTTTTGACTGGGAGCAGGATGCATGATCGCCATCTAATGGATATTCAGAAATTCAAAATAATTTTTAAACAGCAAAAGAAATTTATGTAGCCCTCTTCCTTCTAATATAATTTGAGAGGGTGCAAATATTGTTTCTTAGGTCTAATAGAATCATAGAGGCTAGTAAGCTAGAAATTCAGAAGTTTAGATTTTTGAATGAATACCTTCTACTTCTATTTCAGAAAATAGAAATTATAGATGATGAAGAAAGTGATATGATTAGTAATTCTGAAGTGGATCAGATGAGCTCTCTTTTGGATTATAAGGTAAGTGATTGAAATCTTGTAATACGCAGAAAGCTCAAGCAGGTTTTTTGCAGGGAAAGGTGTGGAAGAGTGGAAGCCTTTCTTCTAGCATTCAGGCTGTGATAGTAATTCCATCAGCTATATGTAGGTTCTTAGTGATTAGATCCTTGTTTCTGCAAAATGAAAGGAACTCCGAAAGAAGCAGCAGCAGCAGCATTGGTCCTGCAGAGCAGCTAAACTACTATGATTTTAGCAGTTTACAGTTTCACTGGGTAACTCACACCAAGACAATTTATTTAGCATTTTTAAAATATACCATCTTTTTCATTTATTTTTAGGTGAAGTCTGTGTTTTCATCAAATACAAACATTCTTTGGGGATTTATTTTTTTAAAATATATAGCCTAATACTACTGGCATTAGTAGGCAACATTAACAACTGGAGATCGCTAATAAAGCAGGGAAGCCTGAGAAAGCAATGGCTTTAGTAATGTAGCCACCATATAACAACACTGCTGATCATTCTGGTTATAAATGACTATATAGAGTTGTCTTTGAAACAGTAACATGGGGGGGAAAAAAGCTGGATACCCAGGCATTCAGGATCTTCTACCAAAATTGTAAAGGTTTGTACATTTAATTTTGCTCACATATGAGATGCTATGGTTTCGTTGTATACATAGTGTTTTCTGTGTGAAACTGACACATTTGTAATTATATATTATTTGTAAAATATATAGATTTTGTTAGACTAGGACCTGTTTTTAAAAGAATAAATTATTTTAAACAACAAAAAATAGACTATAAACTTTGGGGCACAAAAATGAATCTTCTGGGCATTGTGTTCCAGGGTAAGGACAATGGAGGATGAATATGGATGATGAATGACCTTTTCTTAATGTCACTTGTCACTGAACTGAATGGCTTCTTGTGACAGCATGCCCTACAGAACCTTGTTTGTTTTCATTGCGTTTTGACACAAACTATTCATCTTCATGGTTACATGTTCTCTGCATAAATATGTTTTAGCTTTTAGTTGACCAAAGCTCTGAGTAAATAGCTGACATGCAAGCTTTCATCAGTAATAAATCCCAGTAAGCTGATATTCTTACAAAAAATGTGGCTTAAAGAAAATACTCTATATTAAATGTATTTTTAGGACCAACTCTTCATCAAGCCTCTAAAATCAATGTTTGTTGATTTGCATTAGGGCTTGCATGACATATTCATGTTTAACTGTCCATTTGGTCCATGGAAAATGTGTTTTGTATACAAAAATAGCTACAGCAAACAAGAGTGGGTCTACTGAAGATTAATCCCTGATTGTTAGATATATTCTGGAAGTTGATGATAATTTAAACTTAACTGAAAAAACAGGTTTAATAAATGTGAAATGATTGCCAGTCTGTAACAAACCTATATGTGAAACTTTCATGTTCAGAACATAGTTTTATTAAGTCTGACAGGTTTTTTTTAAATAAAGTAAATTAATGCCTATTTTGCAAAACATTATACACACTTTTTGGGCAAAGTTTTCCAATGCCTTTTAACTAGACTTCTGAATTTGGAAATGCAATGATTTGTTATCATCAAAATCTGAAAGTTTTGGGGGGAATTGGCTTATATGCATCATTTCAGACCCAAACGATCTTGTGAATGTATGGACTTAAATTTAAAGGATTTTGAAATTTGGCTTTTTATATTGAATATATATTAAGGAAAAATTAAATCATGCTATCATGATTTCCTTAATTTGCTGTCAGAATTGTTGTACTTTATAATTCGTTCATTGTAAATTATGCACAAGGAGAAATGTACAAGACAGCTACAAATTTTGGTCTCAGTAAACTACAATTCCACTTTTCAAACACACACGTTCACAGAAGATGATGATGATTTTTCAAATTCATTTACCATTTGAACCGAATAACTAGGTTATACCCTCAAAAAGTATTGGATTAAAAAAGAGTCACTTTGAATTATGATTTGCATTTTATCCATCCAATAAGAAAAACGCCTCTGGTTGTTGAAATGTTTACTCTTATGCATTTTAGCTACATTTCTTTACCATAGCAAGGTTTAATATTTTTTCAAAGAGAATGTGTAATGAATCCTTAATTATAACTAGGGGGCTTTGCCCCCTGCTCACTATGCTCTCCAACTCCCTTCCCGGTCATGGAGGGCCCAGGGATAAGACCATGCTGGCTCTTGCCCATACCCCCTGCCGCCGGGAGGGTCCGAGGCCACTCCAGTTCTTTTCCCCCCTGCCCTAGGCCACTGGGGGGGCTCAAACCAAGGCTACTCCAGCCAGGAGGCCGCCCTGGGTCTTGCCCCCCACCTGCTGGTCCGAGGCCACTCCAGTTCTTTTCCCCCCTGCCCCTGCTCTTCTCCCCCCCCCCACCCTGGGGGCTATGGAGGGGGACTGGGGCAAGGTAGTGCCCGGCTCTCCCCCGCAGCCATTACGTCTCTCCTCCTGGCTTCTGGGGAGAGAGGAGGGGAGGACTGGGCTACAGGCCCTGGGAAGGGTCAGGCTGGGAGTGAGTGGGGCTTGGCTCCTATAGACGCAGAGTGACATGATGATATCACTCTGTCGTCCCACAGGAAAAAATGTTTTATATGTAAAGAGATGATGATAATTTGCTATGTATTTTAGTGGCATGTTAACTCTAGCGTTTGAAAGAATTACTTTGAATCATCACTATTATGGCACCAGTATTCAAGCTTTCTGATGCTAATTATTAATTCTTTTATTTCTAAGTGCTGTATATTGTGAAGTTGTATACATATTTCTCCCAGGAGCTTAATGAACAGCATAAAGTGAAAGCACGTTTTATGTATGCCTGGATTATTATTAACTTTGCATTCCGAAATTCTTAGCTAGATAGTGAAGAAATGTGGGAAGAGAGAAAGATGGCTGTGAGATTTTTTGATGTTCTCAGTTCAGTTTCTAGCAGATGTAAATCTGTATCCCAAAAACCACTACCAAAAACTGACAATCACTTGGCAGTTGCAGCGGAAAGAAAATGTTAAATTGTCATAGAGACCAAATTACTGTGTCATCCCTAAAACTGAGTCTTCCAGAACGGAATTGAGGCACATGTGCTAAGGAAGGCTGGGGGCTATAGATGGGAGAAGTCCTGCACTAGCTGTGGTATAGTTTGTATATATCGTTTTCCTGTGGAAAATTTGTGTTCAGTGCCATCACTTGGACATCTTTTGCAGACACACCATTTTCTTCATCTTGAAAATGTAAACAGAACACAGGTCATTAACTATATATAATCTTCACATAACCTGATCTTTACAAAAGGAAATGCCTAAGGGAAATTATATTTTTATGTGCAAGAAATTAACTTAGAATATATACAGTGCAGTAAGTCTAGTAAAGTGTATGTGGGAATTTTGCTGAAGTATTTACTGAACCTGGAGTTAAATTTGAACTTTTAATTTAATAATTTTGCCATTTAAGTATTGTGCCTTGTAAATCCAGTAATACATGTTGTTCACTGCTTTTATAGAATGGCTGGAAAATGCCAAACTCATGCCCTTTGTTTATCCTCCATGTTGACACCTTCAGTGGTTTCCCACACTCTTACCACTATGCCACAAATCTGAAATTAAGGGGCTATCTTGAGAGAAAGAGATGCTAGTGTACTGCTGTTTTGCTGGCCTGTCAATGAGGATGTCAGTTGTGGTGGTTTTTCTTTTCTGTTTGGATATTTGTAGTGCACCAATCACAGTGGTATCTGAGGTGACATCGATAGTAGAAACTGGGAAACCACCAGCTCATTTCACATTAGCTATTTTAAGCAATCAGATGCTGTAAATTTCTAGCCACTACTTTCCTAGATAGGATTTCAATATCCAAGGAATATCTATTGGAGGCATAGAAGAGGGAGTTAACTGTTCAAAAGTTTAATTCCTGTATTGGCACTGGTGGCAGTAAATTGGCTGTGGATTGGTTTGCAATTATGAACAGGTCTTCTCCAATGATGGGCTAGGTTATTGGCTAAGGATGAGTACTCTTTGGTTTTTAAATGGGTTGCTGTCTCCTAACTGGTGCAGGAGCAGTTGAAGAAGAGGATTGTGTTGTAAGTCAGGGAGTTGGGCTGTAGGGGAAAAGAGTTTATAGACACTCCTCTAATTCTGCCTCTGCAAACAGTGAGAGACAAGGGGGAATGAGGTTATACCTGTGATTAGACCAATAAAAGGTATTACCTTATCCACCTCATCTCACTAATATCCTGTGAACAACACATCTACCACACTATCTGCAAACTATGAGCAAGCAAACAGTGACGGAAGAGAGGCATGCTTAAAGACCTCCACTCTGTGTAGTACCAGGTTGATCCCAGCTCTTTTGTTCCCAGCTCTTTGTAATGTACTGGGGCAGTTGATAGATTGGTGCTGGGAGCAGCAACAGTGGATCCAGCATGTGGTTCAGTCACTGCTGTAGTAAGCAGTGACTGCCTCAGTCCCAGCCTCAGAAAATTAACAAGCAGGTAAGCTTGGGTAGGCCTTTCAAACAGTTTTATTTCCATTCTCCAAACAAACCAGATGACCTTGATTTCATCACTATTTACAGTGAGGATTTTGAGGATGGTTATTGAGTTGATCCTTTCGGGTCCAGACTTAGCTGATTCTTTCCATAAACGGTATGTTTCTAGGTGCCCTGGAGTTAGGAAATTTTAGAGATTTTTCTCTCACCTTTTTCCATTTCTAGCTCCCCACTGTGGAGTAGAGCCTACTTGCTGTCTTTGTTGGGGAGAGAGAGCCAGAAACTTCTTTTAAGGTGATATCTGAGATACCCGTCTCTGGGGCCAAAAGACAGAACTTATTAAAAGAGCTGTTGAGGTATACAGTAATTTCCTTAGAATGCTTTTTTGTAGTAGGATTGCCATTATGCATGGAGTTTATTTGCAAAATGACTCAGCTTCCTGGAGGTCTTGGTGCTTTGAACATTGTTGATTGCATGTGCCAAATAAATAAATGGAGTTTATATAGGATCCGAAGAAATGGTTTGGCCTGTACGTTTATTAGGCATTATAGGCCTATTGTGACATCATTCACAGTCAGTTAGAATGCCTCTCTTGTGTTCATTTCTAAAGTCTCATAAAACATGCCTTGTTCTGTCTTAATGCCCAATTATCAAAATCAGGTCAGACAGTGCGAACCCTGAGGAATTTTTCCACAATACTTTCATGGGGAATTTTTACCTTCTAGAATTATTTGGCTTCACTGTACTTTATTTTGATCATAACAGTAAGAAAATCATTGTTACTAATTTTTATTTAAATATAGGTACATTTAATGTCATAATTTTATCCAGTACTAATTATTATTTGCAGAATTATATTCATTTTTCTCCTCAGAATGAAGAAGTTAGGTTCATTGAAAATGAATTGGAGAATCACAAACAGAAATATTTTGAGCTACAGACATTCACTAGGAGCTTGATACTTGCTATCAAATCAGATGATAAAGAACAGCAGCAGGTAAGTCAAAGAAGTAGGCAACAAGTATGTCAGACTTTTTTTTGTCTTGTCATTTTCATAGTTATTTATATTATGGTAGTGCTTACAGGCCCCAACCCAGATGGTGATCAGCATGATATGGACACACAGGACTTGTCTAAACTGCATTTTAACACTCATGGGACTCTGCAAGAGGTAGGATCCCAGAGCCCAGGTGCTAATATGAGACCAAATATCTACACTGCAATTTTACAGCTTCACAAACCAAGCCAGCTGACATAGTCCAGCTACAAGGCTGTCTCTACATTGTCACCCTTTTCCGGAAAAGGGATGCTAATGAGACACTTCGGAATTGCAAATGCCGCGGGGGATTTAAATATCCCCCACGGCATTTGCATGAACATGGCTGCCGCTTTTTTCCGGCTCGGGGCTTTGCCGGAGAAAAGCGCCAGTCTAGCCGGGATCTTTTGGAAAATAAAGCCTTTTCCGGAAGATCCCTTATTCCTCTTAAAATCAGGAATAAGGGATCTTCCGGAAAAGGCTTTAATTTCTGAAAGATCCCGTCTAGACTGGTGCTTTTCTCCGGCAAAGCCCCGAGCTGGAAAAAAGCGGCAGCCATGTTCATGCAAATGCCGTGGGGGATATTTAAATCCCCCGCGGCATTTGCAATTCCGAAGTGTCTCATTACATTGGCACCCTTTTCCGGAAAAGGGATGCTAGACACAGCCCCCGTGTTTAATTGCAGTGTAGACATCCGCACAGTAAGACCATCCCTGCCCCAGAGATCTTGTAGTGTGAACAGACAATACAGATAAAGGATAAGAGAGCAAAAGTATTATCTTCACTTTCCAAAGAGGGCACTGAGGCCCAGACCAATAAGTGACTTGCCTAATGTTACATAAGAAGTCTGTGGCCGAGCCAGGAATAAAAACTAGATCTCCTCAGTTCCTGCCACTGCCTTAGTTTGCTCCAAGGAATCATTTTTGTACAGTGTCAAGTAGCTTTTGTATTTCAAAAATACTTGTTTGATTTTCTTCTTAAACTCATGGGCTACGTCTACACTGGCCCCTTTTCCGGAAGGGGCATGTTAATTTCAGCGATCGTAATAGGGAAATCCGCGGGGGATTTAAATATCCCCCGCGGCATTTAAATAAAAATGTCCGCCGCTTTTTTCCGGCTTTTAGAAAAGCCGGAAAAGAGCGTCTACACTGGCCCCGATCCTCCGGAAAAAGCGCCCTTTTCCGGAGGCCTTGGCTACGTCTACACTGGCCCCTTTTCCGGAAGGGGCATGTTAATTTCAGCTATCGTAGTAGGGAAATCCGTGGGGGATTTAAATATCCCCCGCGGCATTTAAATAAAAATGTCCGCCGTTTTTTTCCGGCTTTTAGAAAAGCCGGAAAAGAGCGTCTACACTGGCCCCGATCCTCCGGAAATTTTAAAAGCCTACTTCGAAGTAGGAATAAGATCCTCCGGAAAAGGGCGCTTTTTCCGGAGGATCGGGGCCAGTGTAGACGCTCTTTTCCGGCTTTTCTAAAAGCCGGAAAAAAGCGGCGGACATTTTTATTTAAATGCCGCGGGGGATATTTAAATCCCCCGCGGATTTCCCTATTACGATCGCTGAAATTAACATGCCCCTTCCGGAAAAGGGGCCAGTGTAGACGTAGCCATGTAGTCTCCAGGAGTGTCAATGCAAACTTATACCAACTGAGGTTCTGGTATTCTGTGGCAAAGCATAATGTGATAGTGGGATTTCTTCTAGTCAGTCATAAAATCATTACAGTATCATTTTCCTCCTCAGTGTATTAGGTGGAGCTGTGTCCCTAGTCTAGCAAAATATTGTAATATATTACTTCATTTTAAGCACATGCTTTGTTACTTTGTTGGATCAGAGCTTGTGTACACAGGTTGAATATTGATTCAGAGGTGTATTTATGATTGTTCAGCTTTCACAAACTATAAGTTGTGGAGGATCTTTCACTTACAGTAAATGAATACTGCTGCACACAAAAAATTCAAATCCCTACTATCTCGTCTTGTTGCACTATTTATGTTAAACATTGTGCAGCATTTTTAAGCTAAATTTATACATTCTCATATTGATTTCCTTTGAAGTAACAATGCTTCTTGTTTCTTATAGTATTTTATTTGAGTGGGCACATCTGACAGTGTATAATAAAATTTAATTCAGAGTGCTAGAGATGTCATAAACTGTGAAACTGAAACATCAGTTACAGAAAACTACTAATGATATACATATGGCCCAGTTCCATATCCCTTACTTACATAATGTAGGATCAGATCGGTCGAGATGGTCTTATATATTCCCTTTTTATATATTCATCATAATATAGTAATTCATTGTCCTATTTGAAAAATTTAAATCTTGAGGTAATTTTCTATTAAAATAAATAATCACATTTTTCAAATGAATGTTTAACATACTATAATACTAGAAATAAGATTGGACATCAATCTGCTTTTAAAGTCAATGCAATTCAGTACAGTTCTTTTCAGAAGGATGCAAAAATCTGAACGTATATTAAAAGAGAATTACTGTATATAAATGTTTTAAACCTGTTACCCTTATATTTACATTTGTGTCAAACTTGCAATCAGGAAAAAAAAAGGATCAACCCAAATGCTTTCTGGAAATTAAATATATGGGGTAAAATTTTCATAAACTCTGAAATGATTTAGGAGCTTAAGTCCAAATGAATTTCAAGTTCAGCCTCTTTTGAGAATGGGACTTGTGAGCCTAACTTACTTCAGAACTTTTGAAGATTTGAAAACCATGAAATCTTAAAACTTAACACACTTACATTAGTTAATTTAAATCTGCAACCACAGTAACTTAGAAGCTGTGATAAGGAGTAAGTGATCTTAGGGGTGATCTTAAAAACAAAATACGCTTGCAAAAAAAAGATTGCTAAAATAAAATTTTAATCCTAAAGTATTATCTTTTAATTTCCAACTTGATTTCACATTTGTGAAATGTGTCAGATTGACCCTTCTTATAATTGATGTGAATTTACTCACAAAACAGGAATAGCGCAAACAATAGCAACTGGCCTCTACACTGCTCTGTAAATGTGTGTCTACCTTCTTCAGGAGGAATCATCTGTACATGTTTGCTTTTCTTTAGAGACTGCCAACAAGGATGCCAAGAATCAATGATCATGAGGATACCTATTCACTAGGGATGTCAACATGTAGTTGACTGAATGATTAACTGATAAGCCTGGGCTTATTGGTTAAACCTGTCGACTACATGCATCTCCCCCTCCTCCCCTCCTCTCCCCCCCCAGTCCCTCCCCCCCGCTTTGCTGCCTCTGTATCTAGTGTCCCTACTATTCACTAGGAACTACAGTAAGGCCACCACTTTATTTTATGTAAAAACAGCAAGCATTTGTCAAATGGTGGTAACAATTAGTCACTACTATTCAAGGATAGAATTGAACCAGCAATCTACTAAGGCTTCATCTGGAGTTGTCCAAGTCTCAGAAAAAAAACACCTGTCTGTGTGAATTTTTAGACTGCAAGTCCTACAAGGAGAGGGGTTGTTACTTCTGTGTTTGTATAGACCCTAACACAATAAGCCCAAATTCCAATTGGAGCCTTTCAGTGCTAATTTGATATAAATCCTGATAAAAATAAGTGTATCTTACATTTATTTTACATAAGCCTAACTGTCAGTATCTCTTAATTATAGCTTCTGCTTCTGCCACACCTAGAAAGTGCAGAGCCAACCTGTTTATTTGTTACAGCATATAAGCCAAAGAACAGATCTAATTTCATGAAAGCATTGTAGAAATCCTTCAATATACATACGGGTTGAACCTTTCTAGTCCGGCACCCTTGAAACCTGACTGGTGCCAAACCAGAGAATTTGCTGGACCATATTTGCTGGTCAATATTGTCTAACAGCATTACCAACACTTCCACTGCTTACTGAGCTCTTAGAAGATATTTAGGGGTGAATTAGATTTAAATAATAGCACAGAACACTGAGAGCTAGGGCTGGGGACTGTAAATAAACTTCATGGGACCACAAGAAACTTAACCACACCCATGATTAGGGGACATCTGGCTAACTAAAATCATGCCAGACCACAGATGTTGCTGGATTAGAGAGGTTCATCCTGTAGTTTTATTTTCTTTTGTTGGCAAAGTGTATGGCTGTATTATTTATAACTGAAACAGTTAGCAAGTTTGCATCTGTATTGTAATGTGTAATTATCCTAAAAATGTCTTCAGTACGTAAAAAAAATACAGTGGCTAAGCTTTTTAGTTTGTCCTTCAATGTATTCACTCTAAGGTACAAAGAAAATGTAAAATAAATATATGCCATACAAACTAGAAAAAGGTAATTGTTAATAGAAGAACTGCAACAAGTGATGAACAAACATTGCTGGAGTACAAAGAGTCACTTGACAGTATATTAAGGCATTTTTCTTGTGTCCCAAAAAGAAATGATTAAATTATTAATTTTTCCTTCTCTGCTACTGATGGCGGGAGGTTGACTTTTGGATAGCCTCCTATGTATGCATCTGAGGATACAGTAGTGTCTATTTTTAAATACGGTAGTTTGCCATCGCTTATTATGTCTTCATTCTAGAGCTGAGTTACAACCATTTTCCTCTGTGGTTGCAAGCAGTAAGCTTGTTATCTGGCAGTAGTAGTAATTGCATCATTTATGGACAACATTCTGTTTCTCCTTTAATATTAGGAATTTTACCATTATTGGTACTACACAAGTATTTGAATAGTTAACATGGAACTTGAAAAATGTGTCCAAATACTAATTGTAAAAAAAGTATTGTTTTTTATACATAGGCACTGCTGTCAGATTTACCTCCTGAATTAGAAGAAATGGATTTCAATCATGCATCTCCAGAGCCTGATGATACCTCATTCAGCTTGTCATCTTTATCAGAGAAAAATGCCTCAGACAGTTTATGATCTTTGGAGAAAAAAATACAAAAATACAACATTTAGACTGCCTAACAGGTGTGCATTTCAAGATAATGGCATTTTGTTATTGAATATTATTCAGTCAACAGAAACCCTAAACTAAGCAGACCTTGCTGAAGAATGAATGTGATATGATATGACCACAACTTTCAGTGACAGGAAATATGGAACTTTGTTTTTGACCAGTGAGAAAGTTATATGGGAAAAGGTTTTAATTTTTATCATCACATCCTTGATTAGGGTAATTTATAATTTTCCAAAAAAATTCTTGCTTTGTAGCAAAATCTATCCTGAGCAGGGAACTAAAAATGGAAAATAAATGTGCAGTTATACAGCCAGGTAGCATTTCAATGTTGCTTGTCATGTAAGACTAGCCAGTCCTGTTTATTGTGACCATTGCCTTTTCCCCTGCCCCTTCTTACTCAGGTAGGTGGATGGAAAATTGAGAATCCAGATTGAAAAATGAGCTTCCTATGAGCTGAGTTGTCCTTAGACCTTGAAAAAGTCTGAATTAAGAGATTAAATTAAGGTGCTTCTTGGTACATAAGTACAAATTGTTGAGTGTCCCATTATCGCATACAAATGTCTGAAAAACACTTGAAAGATGAAAATGAATAGTTTTTAAATAGCTCCTCCAATAAAGTACTAATGTATAGAAGCAGATCTAAATGCTGTAAACCATTAGGCTTTTACTGAAAACTCTTGATTGCTGGAGAAGTAGTGATGGGATGAGAGGATAAAGTTACATCAGTATTTAGATTTTTTTTCAGTCATGGTGATGTTTTTATTTCACTTCATTTTATAAAACCTGAACAGTAAAGGCTCTGTTCATGAAGATTCAGGAATCAGCTAAATTAATTTTCTATAAACTATATTCCACTACATTGCAACAGTGGTGTAAGCCAAGGACAGTTATCATTCCATTCCCTCCTTGCACAAAGCCGTTTTGGACTACATCTATACTGCAGCCTTTTGTCGGCAGAGACAATGCAAATGAAGCGCTCGTTAGCATTTGCCGCGCTGTCATTTGCATAGCTCTGCCTATGCTTTTTGCGGAAGCTTTTTGCGCAAAAACAAGCAGTGTAGACGGGGCCGTTTTGTACAATAAATTCCTTTTGTGCAAGATCCCTTATGCCTCAAAAAAGGAGGTATACAGGATCTTGTGCAAAAGGAGATCTTTGCGCAAAACGGCCCCGTCTACTCTGCTTGTTTTTGCACAAAAACCTCTTCCGCAAAAAGCATCTGCAGAGATATGCAAATGACAGCGCAACAAATGCTAATGAGTGCTTCATTTGCATTGTCTTTGCCGACAAAAGGCTGCAGTGTACACGTAGCCTTGGTGTTGGAATCTGGGCCCCACACATTTCCTCAGTGTGATTCATTGACTAATTAACCCTATTTAACACATTGTATCATTCTGCCATCAGGCTACAGGTGCTGACAAAGAATACATTTAGCTGAAGTTTCCAAATTTATAGCTCTCCCAACTATCTGCTAATTTACCTTAGTGCTCATTCATCCTAAATCTCACATCTCATTAAAACAATACATTCATGCTGACACATTCAGGTTCAATGTGGTACACAGTACTGTGTCCTACAGCTAGAATTTGTTAATTTTTAGTCTGAATATGCACAAACTGTCCTCACTAAAATTTTAGGTCATACCAACTTGAGAGTTAGATTCTTTCAACCTTATGCTGAGTAGTACCTTACTCTGTAATCCCACAGAAATTAAAGAGATTTACTGTAGAATAGGGGTAAGGGTTGAACGATCTCTGGTCTTTGTAAATAAAAACAGTCTTAAGCATCCAAAAAGAGGAAAATCCGTGCAGAGTTTGCACCCTCTGTCCAGCTTCTCTCTTGAACTGAATTCCTGTTTCCATGTGTGAAACTGCTCTCAGGATTTTTTGTGAGGGACAGATCTGCTCTATCATAAATATGGTATTAATGTATTGACTTCTTTCCAGCCCTAAATATGACGTACTGTGAGAAAGGATCACTATACTGTATTTAAATACTTTATACATTTAATTCACAGCACTATACATCCTGAGACAAGAGGCATAATTTATTATAGGTTTTTCTGCTCTGGATTATCAACTGTACTATAGATAGAAAGATACTGCAATTGACAATAAAACCTCATATTTTCAGCAAGCTTTATTGAAGAAATTTAAAATGTGGTATGTCTTGCCCTTGTGCTCCACAATTTGGATCTTAATTCTCTCTTAGTTCTCTTTGACATGGAATGACAAAAGGCAACATGATTTTAATGCTATTTCTTAATTTCATGTCTGTGAATCTTTTGCAATTTCACCTTTTACACTGGTAGCCAAATGGAATTATATCACTGCAATTAATAATTTTTTATTGTTCCGACTTGCTTTTTTCTTGACATGACATCTGATTTAGTTTGATTGGATGAACTGTGCCAAAAACGAACCTTTACTCAATGAATTAGAATCCTGGTTAATTATATATACCTTAAAATCCTAGGCTGGAGTTCTGTACCCAATTCTGTATCCAATTCCCTTTGTGCAAAATATGCTTTGCCTCTTTCTGCATTGTAGGATAACAAAGCATTTAGAATAAAATAGTCATGCTTTTCAATCCAGAAACAAATCAGCAACAACGTAGGCTGATCAAGAAGGAAGATTAAATCTGAAGGATAAACTAGCAATAAGGTGCTATTTTTTTAGGGAGCAATGAAAGTATGTCTGATGCTAGTCAACTTGCTATATGTTGGGAAAGTTGTACCACTTGAGATACTGCTTGTCTTCATGTCCTGAAAATGCCTCCTGTATTGACTATAGTGCTAACAGGAATGAGTAGTAATAAATATTTCCAATCAGTACATTAAGCAGGTATGGTTTTAAATACACCTGGAGAACAGAGCTGTTAAGAAAGCTTCCCTTCCCTTAAGTGGTCACTTTTAATATTAAAGTCCAATGCTATTCTCAAAAGTACCTTTTGTGTGACCAAAGTCAGTAGTAAAATTATAAGAAAAACAAGAGCTTTGCAGCTCCTTGAAGACAAAGTGTGGAACAACATAAGGAGATAAGCCAAAAACATAATGTGCCAATTTAAATTGGGAAGTTCATCTCGCCTACCCACCAAACGAAGAGATAGTATAGCTGTCAAATAACAATGCAGTTATATAAACAAAACTATGTAGCCAGAGTATATGTGATGAAAATCTCACTGTGGAATTTACTGCTGCAAAATGGTCACCTCTCTAGTAGCAGAACTGTACTATTGTTACCATATTACTAAGGATTAAATTTAAAAATTAGCTGGATGGCATTGCCTTTCCCATTAGCTCCTAGCCACAGCAGATTCTCATTCTCAGGATTCAGATGGCATAAAGAAAAGAATTAATGCACCTGAATGTAAAATTAAGCAGAACATCTGAAAAATCAAGATTTAGTTAACTGATAATATTACAACCAAAAGCTTAGCTTATTGTACTTTACTACCTCCCGTTCCACTGCCCACAGCCATCAGAATCAACCAGTTATATGATAAGCTAGTTTGTTTATAGAGGGTCTGCCATCTTGGAAGCATTCTTTCAATTTTAATACAAGGTTTTGCTTTCTCTGTATGAAAATGCAAGAGTTCATGAGTTAATCAATTAACACATTTCTGGTCAAAGTCAGAAAATAGCTTGAACAAAATCTCTGGCCAGATACTCATCAGAAGACAGCTATGCCACCTTTTGGCATCTGATTTGTTCAGCCAATTAATATTTTATCACACTGTCTGACCAAATTTTGCAGCCTTAAAAAAAGCTATGGGTAAAAAACTAAATTGTACCGAGAGACTGGAACAGCCTTTGGCAGGTGGCACTGTACCACTTTTCACCAAAGTAGAATCCAGTTTTACTCAAATCAGAGTCTGTTTCCCTGTGAGCAAAAATGGTGAACTTTCTGCTCAGAAGGCGGTAAGAATTTTTAAAAAGCAATTTAACAAAACAGCAAATTTCTAATCAAGAAAAGAGACTTCAAAGAATGTTTCTTTAAGGAGAATTCTTCCTGGTTACTTCTGTGGTAATATTAAGCATTTTCACTGTATCATTGAGTTAAGTGAATAAGTCCTTTAAAATCCTGTGTTACATTTTACACGTACTACCTCTGAAACATAACACCACCTTAAGACCACAACAAAAAGTAATGTGAACTGTTTTGTTTTTAAACTTTGTAATGGGCAATAACTTCCTGTAGACATTTTCCTTCAACTTTTAATCATTTCAGTTGTTCGGAGTTTTTTTGTATTTGAGATTTAGGCTTTTTAATTTGTATATTTTCTTTAGTTTTCACTTCATTTTTTTTCTTTTCCAAGTTACGCAAATTTTTGATAAGGAAGAACAGTGTATGATGGCATGACGGCTAGGAGCAAATATATCTAATTGTTGGTTACAGGACCCTGGGGCTATGGCTACACTGCGGGGGTTTTCTGGGATACCTCCAGAAAAACCCTGCCGCGTCCAGGGAACGTGCTCTTCCTCCCTTTTTTTTTTTTTTACAGAAGAGCAAATGCGCTTTTTTGAGGAGCTCTTTATTCCTCATTCTGCAATCTAGACGGGGCCAAATAGCGGAAAAGCTTCTTCCAGAAAAGCTATTGGAAAAAGCTATGCAAATTGCAGAGTGCAATTTGTATAGCTTTTTCCGATAGAAGACTGTAGTCTAGACCTAGCCTGGATGTGAAGGCTGAGGGTTACTATAGAAAATTCTTTTCCATGTGTCTGGCTGGTGGGTCTTGCTAGGGAAGGAATTTTCCCTAGGGTCAGATTGGCACAGATCCTGAGGGCTTTTTTTGCCTTCCTCTGTAGAAGCATGGGTCTCTTTCAGGTTTCAGTTAGTGTAAATGGTGGATCCCTAACTGCAAGTCTTTAAATAATGAACTTCAGTAACTCAGCCAGAGGTTAGGGGTCTATGACAGAAGTGGGAGGGTGAGAATCTGTGGATTACAATGTGTAGGACTGGGGTGAGCAATAATTTTTAATGCGGGGGGACACCAAGATTTTGGTAAGTGGTCAAGAGCCACACTTCAATGGAGGGGGTGCGGGAAAGCTTGGGGTAGGAGACTTGAAGTGCGGGGTGTGAGAGAAAGTTTAGGTGAAGGAGCAGGTTGTGATCTGGGGCAGGAGCTTGGGATGTAGGGTCTGGGAAGGGGTATGGGTGGAGGAGAGGATTCTGGCCCGGGGAAGGAGTGTGGAAGGAGGTGCAGAGCCGGGGAGGAAGTTGTGACCGGGGCAAAGAAGGTGCTGAGGGTTTGGGTGGTGACCTGGGGCAGGGAAATGGAGTGCAAGATTGGGGAGGGGAGTTGGATGCAAGGAAGGATTCTGGCATAGGCGTGCACACGGGTTGTGCTGGGTGTGCCCAGGCACACCCTAATGTCTCGGACCGGCTAACCTGAGCCATTTTTGTGCCCTAGACCCCACGTGGACCGGCAGCACTGCGCGGCCCAGCAGGGGAATGCCCCTCCCCACACGGCGCC